TGGTATTTTGGCCCATTCCTCCATGCAGATCTCCTCTAGAGCAGTGATGTTTTGGGGCTGTCGCTGGGCAACACGGACTTTCAACTCCCTCCAAAGATTTTCTATGGGGTTGAGATCTGGAGACTGGCTAGGCCACTCCAGGACCTTGAAATGCTTCTTACGAAGGCACTCCTTCGTTGCTCGGGCGGTGTGTTTGGGATCATTGTCATGCTGAAAGACCCAGCCACATTTCATCTTCAATGCCCTTGCTGATGGAAGGAGGTTTTCACTCAAAATCTCACGATACATGGCCCCATTCATTCTTTCCTTTACACGGATCAGTCGTCCTGGTCCCTTTGCAGAAAAACAGCCCCAAAGCATGATGTTTCCACCCCCATGCTTCACAGTAGGTATGGTGTTCTTTGGATGCAACTCAGCATTCTTTGTCCTCCAAACACGACGAGTTGAGTTTTTACCAAAAAGATCTATTTTGGTTTCATCTGACCATATGCCATTCTCCCAATCCTCTTCTGGATCATCCAAATGCACTCTAGCAAACTTCAGACGGGCCTGGACATGTACTGGCTTAAGCAGGGGGACACGTCTGGCACTGCAGGATTTGAGTCCCTGGCGGCGTAGTGTGTTACTGATGGTAGGCTTTGTTACTTTGGTCCCAGCTCTCTGCAGGTCATTCACTAGGTCCCCCCGTGTGGTTCTGGGATTTTTGCTCACCGTTCTTGTGATCATTTTGACCCCACAGGGTGAGATCTTGAGTGGAGCCCCAGATCGAGGGAGATTATCAGTGGTCTTGTATGTCTTCCATTTCCTAATAATTGCTCCCACAGTTGATTTCTTCAAACCAAGCTGCTTACCTATTGCAGATTCAGTCTTCCCAGCCTGGTGCAGGTCTACAATTTTGTTTCTGGTGTCCTTTGACAGCTCTTTGGTCTTGGCCATAGTGGAGTTTGGAGTGTGACTGTTTGAGGTTGTGGACAGGTGTCTTTTATACTGATAACAAGTTCAAACAGGTGCCATTAATACAGGTAACGAGTGGAGGACAGAGGAGCCTCTTAAAGAATAAGTTACAGGTCTGTGAGAGCCAGAAATCTTGCTTGTTTGTAGGTGACCAAATACTTATTTTCCACCATAATTTGCAAATAAATTCATTAAAAATCCTACAATGTGATTTTCTGGATTTTCTTTTCTTAATTTGTCTGTCATAGTTGACGTGTACCTATGATGAAAATTACAGGCCTCTCTCATCTTTTAAGTGGGAGAACTTGCACAATTGGTGGCTGACTAAATACTTTTTTTCCCCACTGTATGCACTCACTAACTGTAAGTTGCTCTGGATAAGAGCGTCTGCTAAATGACTAAAATGTAATGTAAATATTGTGGAGTAACTACAATGTTGTTGATCCATCCTCAATTTTGTCCTATCACAGCCATTGAACTCTGTAACTGTTTTAAAGTCACCATTGGCCTCATGGTGAAATCACTGAGCAGTTTCCTTCCTCTCCGGCAACTGAGTTAGGAAGGACACCTGTATCTTTGTAGTGACTGGGTGTATTGATACACCATCCAAAGTGTAATTATAACTTCACTATGCTCAAAGGGATGTAGCCTATAGGCTTCACAGACAAGTAACATAAGTAAACAAAACATATGCCATTCTATTCTTTTGAAAAAACATTTTTATTAGTCTTATAATGTTTCTTAGGACCTGCCTAAAATGAATTAATAATGGATTTCTTTAATGGTGTATATTCAATGGATTTATTAAAAAAAGACATCCACCCACATCGACCCACGTCTATTCGCACTGCTAAACTTACAGGCAACATACTGTAAAGTTTGTCTGTAAAAGGTATAAGTAGTTTTTCTCAAAGTTGCCACGCGCATCCACTTACATCAGTACATACACTCAGCGGCCAGTTTATTAGGAACACCCATCTAGTACTGGGTCGAACCCTTTGCCTCCAGAACTGCCTGAATACTTTGGCGCATGGCGTTCAATGGTCGCTCAATTGGTGTCAAGGGACCTAACGTGTGCCAGGAAAACATTCCCCACACCAAGTACACCACTGCCACCAGCCTGTACCGTTGACACCAGGCAGGATGGGTCCATGGAGTCATTATTTTTACGCCAAATCCTGACTCTGCCATTAGCATGACGGAACAGGGATTCGTCGGACCAGGCAAAGTTTTTCCACTCTTCAATTGTCCAGTGTTGGTAATCGCGTGTGTTCCCACTGGAGCTGTTTCTTCTTGGTTCTAGCTGATAGGAGTGGAACCTGGTGTGGTCGTCTGCTGCAATAGCCCATCCGTGACAAGGATCGACGAGTTGTGCGTTCTGAGATGCCATTCTGCACACCACTGTTGTACTAACCGTTATTTGTCTGTTTGTGGCCCGCCTGTTAGCTTGCACGATTCTTGCCATTCTCCTTCATTTTTTGTTTGTTGCACCATTCTCGGTAAACCCTAGACACAGCCGTGTGTGAAAAGCCCAGGAGGGCGGACGTTTCTAAGATAATGGATCCGGAGCGCCTGGCATCGACAATCATACCACGCTCAAAGTCGCTTAGGTTACTTGTTTTGCCCATTCTAACGTTCAATTGAGCAGTAACTAAATGCCTCGATGCCTGTCTGCCTGCTTCATATAGCAAGCCACAGCTACATGACTCACTGTTTGAGAGATGGCGGAAGTGGATGCTGAGTTCGAGTCGAGCAAAGTTGGTGAAGAATGTCCTGAATGGACAACATTAGTGTTGAAAAATCGAACAAAAAGGAAATTGTCTAAAATTGGAGTGGAGGATACGTGTATGAACAATAATTAATCGTTTCATGTTGGGATGCGTTTGTTGCGTAAGGGTGCATATGCGGGAGACCCGTTTGAGGTGTCAAATTGTGAATATATGCGCTGGTCTATCAAAGTGACCAGGAGTGGTCTTATTTTGATTAATTGTATTTCTGAAGAGCAGAGGAAGATTGCAGTGGGCCTCAAAATAATCTGGACAACAGAAGTATTGTGTTTTGAACTTCGGAGTAGAGCACCCGTCAAAGGAGTCATCTCAGGGGTGACGACGGATGTTCAGGTTGAATACCTGAAGAGAATTCCTGGTGTGGTTGGTGCCCGGCGTCTGACCAACTGGGTGAATGGAGAAAAAGAAGATAGTCTGTCGGTCCTGTTTTCTTTAAAAGAGCACCTACAGTACCTACACATGTGGCCCCAAACCACTGCAGTGTAAAAAAAAAAAAAAAAGTAGGACAGATTATACAGAAGTAAGGTGTGTAGAAGGACGACAGTGTTGCAATTGTGGTGGGGATCATGACCCCAAGTTCCTGGAGTGCCCTGTAAGGGTGAAGGAGATTGAGGTGGCAAAACTTAGAGCGGTCAATCAAATCTCCTATGTGGAGGTGATTAAAAGAGTTGAGAAAACAAGTGACACTAGTGAAGATATGGTATTAGATGCACCACAACCTGTAGTAAATGTTAGCTGCCAGTCAAAAGACTGTGATAAAAAGGTGGATTTTGTGGTGTGGGAAATTATTCTCTTACATTTTAGATGTGCTGTTAGCTTAGAAAGAATCCATTAATGATTAAACATAATAGGTTTGTGCTGTACTGATATAGATTGTTTAATATAACAAGCTGTGATTAATGTGGTCCTCTGTAGCTCAGCTGGTAGAGCACGGCGCTTGTAACGCTAAGGTAGTGGGTTCGATCCCCGGGACCACCCATACACAAAAAATGTATGCACGCATGACTGTAAGTCGCTTTGGATAAAAGCGTCTGCTAAATGGCATATTATTATTATTATTATTATTTATTATTAACTGTTAGGGGGTAGGGTGAGATAAGGCTTGTGACACACACACACACTGCCTCTTTGTTAAACCGCTCAAGGACAAACTGTGTCTGGGGTTGCTGACTCGAGACAAGTTGTGGAGATAACAACTAATGCCTGGCAACAGTGAAGCGCCAAGGGGCTGGGACCAGCCTGTGCGCCAACGATAGGCTGAGTAAGTCTAAACCACACTCAGTCTCTACTCTGATAGGCCTGCTTGGAGCAGGAACTCTCTCTGTCAGAGTATTTAAAGAAGAACATAACAATGGCTCAGTTCTCTGACTGCCCTGCGTGGTTTTTCAGTGGACCCGTATATACGAACATCATATTTACCATTCAAGTGTCTGCATTAATTAAAATACTAGTCTATTTTAGAAGACGTGTATTGACCTCTTTTTGTTCCTATACCAGATTTGAATTGACGCAACTTGACAGTGGCATTCATTGCCACAGTTATAAACTCAAGTCTCAAAGAAGTCAAAGAAACTGGACATTATTGTGGCTGAGGCAGAAAGGTTTTTGGGACAGTGTAGGGTTCAGATCTGTTTTATTTTTAACAGAAACGTTGTTTGATTTAGTTAACTTAATTTTTTGTCGGTAGTTTGGTAGTTTGTTCCGTTTCTCTATTTCCATCCCACACAGTAGAGGTCTGGATGTATACCAAATTGTGCAAACGCCAATATACTATAGAAGAAGATGACTCACCGTCTGTAGGAGTGATCCATTTTCGTGAACAGTGTGGTGTATCTAATAAATTGGCCTAACCACTGAGCTTATGTAATAGCCTAAACATTACGAAACTTCCATTCAATCAAATAAGGCTCAAGTAATTCGACAATCTCTCATAGACCTCCATACAACAACAAAAAAGAACTTGTCTCACGTGGACAGATTTTGGGCAGAGTAAATCCTCTCGCTTCGCCTCTTCCTCTCTGATTACCTTGAAAACAACGGTCGGACATCTTGGACGCAGTCTCCAGTTCTTGATGTTATACCTCAGTGGTCGGTTCAGTAGCTAGTGCTTTGCTAGTGCTTTGAAAACGTCATCCGAGACTCGGAGCTCCGGTATCACGAGTCCCATCACGAAGCCTTTAGCTCGACCGAACATAGCACAGACCATCAAATATATTTAGGTACTTCCTAGTGTATTTGTGTAGCTAGTTAGCAACAACAATGAGAAACTGCTGTGCGGTGAATTGTGCTAATCGAGGTGGTCAGGGCTGGAGATTCTTCACTATACCAAGAGGATCTCATCCCTTCCAAAAGAATAGAAGACGGTTGTGGCTGCAAGCCATAAAACGAGTGGATTGGGGCCCTGATGGTCTGAGGGGTGATTATAGCTTGTGTGGAGCTCATTTCATCTCTGGTAAGTGTGTTCGGGCTGGTTAGCAAATGCTAATACGTTCGCTAGTTAAAGCTAGAATCACATAATCAATAAAAATAACAAAGCGAAATCCCGCCTTTGTTTCGCTAAAAAGTTAGGGGATGGGGTTTGAGAAATGTATCCAACCACTTAAATTCACGTGTGTGTCGTGAACAACAATAGTGGATTCGGCGGTTCGCCTTTAAAATAAAAGTACCTCCCTGTTAACTGATGCAAACGGATAGAAATTGAGGAATCATCACACAATTGTACTAGATAAAACTAAACATGGGTTGGAATGTTTTTATATAAATTCAACAAAAGAGAACTAGTTAATTTGACACAAATCAAAATCTTTGAAATCGCATTGTGGATGTATTAGACTAAGTAATTGAGTTGTGGGCATACTTCTCTTGCAATGTGTACAACCTTAACCCATTTCATGGACCCAAGATCCATAGGTATCAGCCTACTCAGTGACACCCACAAATATTAGTGTAGTAGCTCTTCTTGTGGGACTTGAGTACATGCAGTGATTTTTTTTTTTACTTTTCCAGTTGAAAAGCAATATCCCAAGTAATTTATAAATACAGTAAAGTACACTCACTAAAGGGTAAATAAATGTTTTGAGCAAAATAGTTTTTTTTCAACGAGTTGGGCAGGGGTAGGCAACCCTGTTCCTGGAGTGCGGCAGGTACTGCAGGATATTGTTCTAACTAGGCACCACACCTGACCAACTGAGCTAATTGATCAGTTCAGTGATTGCCTAAATTGAACACACCTGGTGTTCCAGGTTGGGTAAATCAAAACATCAATTGCCTGCGGCACTCCAGGACCAGGGTTTCCTACCCATGGAGTAGGGCATTCAGAGGAAGGCCCAAAAAATTATCGAAGACTCCAGTCACCCAAGTCATAGACTGTTCTCTCTGCTACCGCACAGCAAGCGGTACCGGAGCGCTAAGTCTAGGACCAAAAGGCTCCTTAACAGCTTCTAGCCCCAAGCCATAAGACTGCTGAACAATTAATGGACAACCAGACTATTTACATTGACCCCCCCCCCCCCCCTTTTGTTTTTACACTGCTGCTACTCGCTGTTTATTATCTATGCATAGTCTCTTTACCCCTCCCTACATGTACAAATTACCTGGACTAACCTGTACCCTCACACATTGACTTGGTACCAGTACCCCCTGTATATAGCCTCGTTATTGTATTGTATTACTTTATTTTTATTTTTTTTACTTTAGTTTATTTAGTAAATATTTTCTTAACTGAACTGCATTCTTGGTTAAGGGCTTGTAAGTAAGCATTTCACAGTAAGGTCTACACCTATTGTACACTTCTCAAAAAAATAAAGGGAACACTAAAATAACACATCCTAGATCTGAATGAATGAAAATCTTATTAAATACTTTTTTCTTTACATAGTTGAATGTGCTGACAACAAAATCACACAAAAATTATCAATGGAAATCAAATGTATCAACCCATGGAGGTCTGGATTTTGAGTCACCCTCAAAATTAAAGTGGAAAACCACACTACAGGCTGATCCAACTTTGATGTAATGTCCTTAAAACAAGTCAAAATGAGGCTCAGTAGTGTGTGTGGCCTCCACGTGCCTGTATGACCTCCCTACAACGCCTGGGCATGCTCCTGATGAGGTGGCAGATGGTCTCCTGAGGGATCTCCTCCCAGACCTGGACTAAAGCATCCGCCAACTCCTGGACAGTGTGGTGCAACGTGGCGTTGGTGGATGGAGCGAGACATGATGTCCCAGATGTGCTCAATTGGATTCAGGTCTGGGGAACGGGCGGGCCAGTCCATAGCATCAATGCCTTCCTCTTGCAGGAACTGCTGACACACTCCAGCCACATGAGGTCTAGCATTGTCTTGCATTAGGAGGAACCCAGGGCCAACCGCACCAGCATATGGTCTCACAAGGGGTCTGAGGATCTCATCTCGGTACTTAATGGCAGTCAGGCTACCTCTGGCGAGCACATGGAGGGCTGTGCGGCCCCCCAAAGAAATGCCACCCCACACCATGACTGACCCACCGCCAAACCGGTCATGCTGGAGGATGTTGCAGGCAGCAGAACGTTCTCCACGGCGTCTCCAGACTCTGTCACGTATGTCACATGTGCTCAGTGTGAACCTGCTTTCATCTGTGAAGAGCACAGGGCGCCAGTGGCGAATTTGCCAATCTTGGTGTTCTCTGGCAAATGCCAAACGTCCTGCACGGTGTTGGGCTGTAAGCACAACCCCCACCTGTGGACGTCGGGCCCTCATACCACCCTCATGGAGTCTGTTTCTGACCGTTTGAGCAGACACATGCACATTTTGCAGGGCTCTGGCAGTGCTCCTCCTGCTCCTCCTTGCACAAAGGCGGAGGTAGCAGTCCTGCTGCTGGGTTGTTGCCCTCCTACGGCCTCCTCCACGTCTCCTGATGTACTGGCCTGTCTCCTGGTAGCGCCTCCATGCTCTGGACACTACGCTGACAGACACAGCAAACCTTCTTGCCACAGCTCGCATTGATGTGCCATCCTGGATGAGCTGCACTACCTGAGCCACTTGTGTGGGTTGTAGACTCTGTCTCATACTACCACTAGAGTGAAAGCACCGCCAGCATTCAAAAGTGACCAAAACATCAGCCAGGAAGCATAGGAACTGAGAAGTGGTCTGTGGTCACCACCTGCAAAACCAGTCCTTTATTGGGGGTGTCTTGCTAATTGCCTATAATTTCCACCTGTTGTCTATTCCATTTGCACAACAGCATGTGAAATTTATTGTCAATCAGTGTTGCTTCCTAAGTGGACAGTTTGATTTCACAGAAGTGTGATTGACTAAGAGAAAGCAAGACACAGAGAATATGACGTCCATCTGAGTAAAGGGTCTGAATACTTATGTAAATGTTATATTTCAGTTTTTTATTTTGAATACATTTGCAAACATTTCTAAATACCTGTTTTTGCTTTGTTATTATGGGGTAGATTGATGAGGGGGGGGGGGGGGACGATTTAATCCATTTTAGAATAGCGCTGTAACGTAACAATGTGGAAAAAGTAAAGGGGCCTTGCTTCATCGCGCTCTAGCGACTCCTTGTGGAGGGCAGGGCGCCTGCAGAATGGTGTTTCCTCCAACACATTGGTGCGGCTGGCTTCTGGGTTAAGCGGGCAGGTGTTAAGAAGTGAGGACGCATGACTCGACCTTCGCCTCCCGAGCCCGTTGGGGAGTTGTAGCGATGAGACAAGATCGAAATTGGGGAGAAAAAAGAGGCTATAAAAATTAATAAAACACATATGGAAAAATACCTGTTTTAAAATGTCTACAAATCAATTGAACAGGTCAGGGTTCCATAGCCCCAGGCATAAACTGGATCAGCAGCACGACCAGGTGGACTGGGGACGGGGATAGCCAGGAGTCATCAGGCCAGCCAGGTGGTCCTGAGGCATAGTCCTAGGGCTCAGGTCCTCCGCTAGGGGCGAGAGATGGGAGAATTAGAGGGGGCATGGGGGGGGGGACACTGTAGCCCCGTCCGACAATACCCCCTGACAGGGCCAGCCAGGCAGGATGTAACTACATCCACCACCCACTTTGCCAAAGCACTGCCCTCACATCACCTGAGGGATAGGCTGATACCCCATTTCATGGACCCAAGATCCATAGGTAAGGCTTTACATTGCAATATGAATGTCCAATACATACAATGGACTGACTGGGAAGGTGATTTCCCACAGTTACGACGCTAATATTTGTGAATTGTTTCAGGAAACTAGGCGTATGTCGCACGTCACTACTTCACAGGAGCAGCATTTGAACATTTTATTTTTATCAAAATGCGTTGTTTGGCAGAAATGCCTTCTGGAACATGTGAACTTTCATGTGCCTTAATAACAAACTTGTATTCCATCCATAGTTATGAATAAAATTGTTAAATTACGAGCCTAGTTGGTTTAGCCATGGAAAAAGACAGGAACCTTCCCGCTAGCCATGATTGGCTGAGATAATGTATGGGCTGGACATGCCGGGACATGAGTTTGGATTGGTCTGCCATGTAACACGCCTATGTCTATAACGTGAGCTGTTCAGTATGTGTTGACAGTCCTTTATACCGCGCCGTTTTTGAAAGATATAACGTTAACCATCGAGAACTACATACGTTTTGCTACTTTTCTCAACAACATTGATACCCTGAATTTAGCAGGCGCTATCGACAGACCAGGAGGAAAAAGTGATGGGCTACTTTCTGCACACGCCACGGTCAGTGTGAACCAGAGTGACTTGACACAACGCTGGCCAAACAAGTAGCTACAAACAAAACGGAGTTAAATGGTTCCTGTTTGCCGTGAAGCTTTCATCCATGTATACGGGTAAGAGTCTAGCTACATTTCCCAGATAAAAGTTTCGAATTTAGTCAGAAAGTTGTTTTTTATTGCAAGTTAAAGCGTACTGTTAGTTAGCAAACGTTAGCTTGAAGGCTCGCTAGCTAACGTTACGTGTATGATCTGTGTAGTAATATTATTTGAATCAGAAAACCATTTGCATTGCTAGATATAGCCTAATGTTAGCTAACTAAAATTAAACCTAGTTTGTTAGCTTTAGCTACCTGCAGATTCATACTACAGCTATGACAATGTTTGTATTGGTAGTAGTATGAGTTGGGGTTATGCCGGTTCGTTGTTTAGCTAGCTTTCTAGCTACCTACCTTAAATGTAAATGTCTAAACAAAAGTCTCCACTTCAGCCGGATTATTACATGACCCATCAAATTAGCAGGTGTGTCTGGGGGTTATTACGGCCATCGATTGTATATCCTGAACATGTGTACATGTCTAGACAATAGTGATCCATCCACTTAACTAGATGTGTGTGAGGGGTGATTTAGAACATATTTTTATCTGGACACTTTCTGTGTTTGATATTGCTACTATGCAAGTACTATCACTGTACCGTTTACACCTTCTGTATCCTGTGCATGTGACAAATACATTTAGATTTTATTGGATATAGCATGTGTTTACCACATTTTTACATTTTAGTCATTTAGCAGACGCTCTTATCCAGAGCGACTTACAGTTAGTAAATACATATATATTTTTTTCATACTGGCCACATGTGAATCCTTAAAGAGATGGGTTGGGCTAAGGCTTAAGAGGGTGTGAACGATGCTGAATGGGTGTAGACAAAGAAGAGCTCTCCAGTAGGTGTACCAAAACATTCAAGGGCCATTTTCTCAAAAGTGGGGTTACAAGTTTATCAACTTTCAAAGCAGAATTACTTTGTTCTTCAACTGCAGTGTATGTTTCTAGCTCTGAGTCTCTACTTTTATCCAATGTAAAAAACACCATTTCAAATGTTGCTACATAAGACTGAATCGAGAAGACCGAATCGAGGTGGTCAGTCATATTTGTTTAAACTCTTTAAAATTGTAATCTGTGGGTCTCACAAAGTAGGCTGATACCCCATTTCATGGACCCAAGATCCATAGGTAAGGCTGTACATTGCAATATGAATGTCCAATAGACTGACTGGGAAGGTGATTTCCAAAAATGTTGAGGCTATAAAGTGTTTTTCTTTTACATTGTTTCCAAACATTGGAGTAAAACAAGCTTATATTTTGGGTTCTGATGTGGTACGACAGTTAAACTAAGCTCCTGAGGCATTTATACGTTACTGCTATCTTCAAGAATCAGTGGGTATATATCATTCATTTATAAGTCTAAAAATGGATTTAGCAACTAAGGATTCTAGCTTTAAAGGGATAATTAACTCAATTTACAAAATAACATATTGGTTTCCATACCCTGCAATGGACAAGGTATGACAGCAATTCAATTCTTTAGTTTTGTTTACCATGCCACTGTTTCCAAATGCGAACTTTTTAGCATTTGTGGTACATCCAACGCAAGTCAATGGTACCGATATCTTTTTTTTTTTTTACCTACACAATCAATTCTAGATACTTAAGGATGATTTTGACATAGTTTAGCAAGCCAAGATAAAATAACATTCTAGTAAGTCAGATAAGCTTGCTAGCATTGTTAGCCTACTTGCCAGTCCATTCGCTAATCACAATACTTCTTTACAACCAGGAGAACCTTCTATGGACTATGACAGCCCCGATTTTGTTCCATCAATATTTCCCCAAGGCAAACAGACAAGGTATGTTTGTATTCATTACATTTCGTGTTTACCATTTTAAATGCATTTTCATAAAATTGCTAATTCTCACTTGAACTCTACTGTGGTCCCTAGAAACTCAACAAAGACAAGACGCAGTAAAGTCCAGTCTAACGGCAGTGCTGTTGCCATGGAAAGTCCAGACACAGAGGTTGATGTCCTTCCTGAATGTGCTGAAGGTAGACACAGTTATATTAGTTTTCGGTTTTTAAACAACTAATTGACAGACGTCGGTTCAATTATTTTAATTTAATTTAGTTCGATTTTTTTCTTCTTCTGTGAGCTCAATACGTACATTGCACAGTTTCTTTAGAGATAAATAAGATCAAGCCTGAACTGCGCAATGTAGTAGGGAGTTGTAGTTTCCAACAGGCCAATATTCTACATAGTTTAGTGCATAAAAAGTGGTAGTTCACTACAATGACCAGAATCCATTGCGCATCTAGTCGTCCAGTCTGTTTCTTTTACAACTGCTACTACGGAATAGAGAAGAGTGCAGCTGTTGCTTCGCGAGGTATCTCTACCTGAAAATACATGATCTAAGTGATTGATAGTTGGTATTCAGCAGCATAAAAGTATGCCTTATTTACTTTGTAGAACTACAAAATTGTAATTTTGTCAGACAGCAGCTCTATAGAGAAGAGATGATGATGACTTGGAATGAAATGATAGTCATCAAATAAAACAAATGTAATATACACAACAACGAAAATATTTTATTAAAGATGAATAATGTGAATAAATTATGGTTAATAAGTGATAAGCAGTAATGGGCAGTCACTACCATCATGAGACTTTTATGAATTGTTTTATTCAGCGTTTAGTGTAGTGCATTTAATGTAAAAAAATAAATATATATTTAAAAAAAATGAAAATCGTGATATTTTAAGAATCTAACTGAAACCGAACAAAAGCACTAATTGCTCAGCACTATAAGGCATCCATATCTTCTGTCCTTTCTGACAACGTAAAGACACACACACACACTGGGTTTCAGACAAGTTTTCTCATGGGGCAATGTAAGACTATCCTCCCACCGCAGTCCTAGTGCATTTCCCCCAAAACCCCATGGTTTCCTGGTTTGGGATGGGCAAAAAATCAGAACTCATCATGAGGCGCCACAGTGGCTTGCTGCTCTTTCTACCCACATCCACACCCACACGTGCAGTCAGAGCCAGCCCTTGCCTTTTGGGGGCCCTAGCCTTTTGGGGGCCCTTGCCTTTTGGGGGCCCTACGCAAAATGTTGTTGCGAGCAAAACATTTTAGCGGCTCCTCTCTTGACAGCAGATACTTTGTTTTAGTTCTAGAGTTAATTTCCTGCAATTCTACACATTTTTCCATGGGGCGTAGAGACAATGTTGCAGTTTCAAAGCATGTTTGCGGCAATTCTACGGAGATAAGATTTTGCAATTTTATAACATATTTCATACCATTCTACACATTTTGTCATGGGAGGGAGAGAAATGTTTGCAGTTTTTTATATGATGTGAGAGTGACTAACTAAATCAATCCCGGTTGGTAATTCGACCATCAAGTTTAGATAGCTGGCCGCTAGACCAATCTCACATGGGCTAATTGAGTGACTGTCAGTGACTGACATAACAAGAGAAAAACTGCTGATGCACAACCACATTTTCAAAATTACACCTTGTGTATTCTAACACTCAACAGTAAGTAGAGACCCGACTGAGTTCCTAAAAAAAGGAAATAAATAAAATAAACAAACTGAGCAATCAGGGGGTGAAGGGCCTTGGTCAGACCAAGAACCCGATGGTCACTCTGACAGAGCTCCAGAGTTCCTCTGGAGATGAGAGAACCTTCCAGAAGGACAACCATCTCTGCAGCACTCCACCAATCAGGCCTTTATGTTACAGTGGTGAGACGGAAGCCACTCCTCAGTAAAAGGCACATGACAGCCCGCTTGGAGTTTGCCAAAAGGCACCTAAAGGACTCTCAGACCATGAGAAACAAGATTCTCTGGTCTGATGAAACCAAGATTGAACTCTTTGGCCTGAATGCTAAGCGTCACTTCTGAAAGAAACCTGGCACCATCCCTATGGTGACGCATGGTGGTGGCAATGTCATGCTGTTGGGATGTTTTTCTGTGGCAGGGACTAGGAGACTAGTCAGGATCGAGGGAAAGATGAACGGAGCACAGTACAGAGAGATCCTTGACGAAAACCTGCTTCAGAGCGCTCAGAACCTCAGACTGGGGCAAAGGTTCACCTTCCAACAAGACAACAACCCTAAGCACACAGCCTAGACAATCCAGGAGTGGCTTCGGGATACGTCTCTGAATGTCCTTGAGTGGCCCAGCCAGAGGCCGTACTTGAACCCGATCAAATAACTCTGGAGAGACCCATCCAACCTGACAGAGCTTGAGAGGATCTGCAGAGAAGAATGAGAGAAACTCCCCAAATTCAGGTGTGCCAAACTTGTAGCGTCATACCCAAGAAGACTCGAGGCTGTAATCGCTGCCAAAGATGCATCAACAAAGTACTGAGTAAAGGGTCTGAATAAATATGTAAATGTGATATGTCCGTTTTTTGTTTTTGTTTATAAATTTGCAAACATTTCTAAAAACCTGTTTTTTCTTTGTGATTATGGGGTATTATGTGTAGACTGATGAGGGGGGAAAAAACTATTTAATCAATTTTAGAATAAGGCTGTAACGTAACAAAATGTGGAAAAAGTCAAGGGGTCTGAATACTTTCTAATGCACTGTACATATGAAATGAGTAAAACAGTATGTAAAAATTATTAAAGTGACCAGTGTCCCATGTCTAATTACAGTGGGGAAAAAAAGTATTTAGTCAGCCACCAATTGTGCAAGTTCTCCCACTTAAAAAGATGAGAGAGGCCTGTAATTTTCATCATAGGTACACGTCAACTATGACAGACAAAATGAGAAAAAAATATCCAGAAAATCACATTGTAGGATTTTTTATGAATTTATTTGCAAATTATGGTGGAAAATAAGTATTTGGTCATCTACAAACAAGCAAGATTTCTGGCTCTCACAGACCTGTAACTTCTTCTTTAAGAGGCTCCTCTGTCCTCCACTCGTTACCTGTATTAATGGCACCTGTTTGAACTTGTTATCAGTATAAAAGACACCTGTCCACAACCTCAAACAGTCACAATCCAAACTCCACTATGGCCAAGACCAAAGAGCTGTCAAAGGACACCAGAAACAAAATTGTAGACCTGCACCAGGCTGGGAAGACTGAATCTGCAATAGGTAAGCAGCTTGGTTTGAAGAAATCAACTGTGGGAGCAATTATTAGGAAATGGAAGACATACAAGACCACTGATAATCTCCCTCGATCTTGATCTCACCCCGTGGGGTCAAAATGATCACAAGAACGGTGAGCAAAAATCCCAGAACTACACGGGGGGACCTAGTGAATGACCTGCAGAGAGCTGGGACCAAAGTAACAAAGCCTACCATCAGTAACACACTACGCCGCCAGGGACTCAAATCCTGCAGTGCAAGACGTGTCCCCTTGCTTAAGCCAGTACATGTCCAGGCCCGTCTGAAGTTTGCTAGAGTGCATTTGGATGATCCAGAAGAGGATTGGGAGAATGTCATATGGTCAGATGAAACCAAAATAGAACTTTTTGGTAAAAACTCAACTCGTCGTGTTTGGAGGACAAAGAATGCTGAGTTGCATCCAAAGAACACCATACCTACTGTGAAGCATGGGGGTGGAAACATCATGCTTTGGGGCTGTTTTTCTGCAAAGGGACCAGGACGACTGATCCGTGTAAAGGAAAGAATGAATGGGGCCATGTATTGTGAGATTTTGAGTGAAAACCTCCTTCCATCAGCAAGGGCATTGAAGATGAAACGTGGCTGGGTCTTTCAGCATGACAATGAACCCAAACACACCGCCCGGGCAACGAAGGAGTGGCTTCGTAAGAAGCATTTCAAGGTCCTGGAGTGGCCTAGCCTGTCTCCAGATCTCAACCCCATAGAAAATCTTTGGCGGGAGTTGAAAGTCCGTGTTGCCCAGCGACAGCCCCAAAACATCATTGCTCTAGAGGAGATCTGCATGGAGGAATGGGCCAAAATACCAGCAACAGTGTGTGAAAACCTTGTGAAGACTTACAGAAAACGTTTGACCTGTGTCATTGCCATCAAAGGGTATATAACAAAGTATTGAGAAACTTTTGTTATTGACCAAATACTTATTTTCCACCATAATTTGCAAATAAATTCATTAAAAATCCTACAATGTGATTTTCTGGATATTTTTTTCTCATTTTGTCTGTCATAGTTGACGTGTACCTATGATGAAAATTACAGGCCTCTCTCATCTTTTTAAGTGGGAGAACTTGCACAATTGGTGGCTGACTAAATACTTTTTTTCCCCACTGTACATAGGGCAGCAGCCTGTAAGGAGCATGGTAGAATAACCAGGTGGTAGCCGGCTAGTGACAGTGACCAAAGTTTAGGGCAGGGTACTGGGTGGAGGCCGGCTAGTGATGGCTATTTAACAATCTGATGGCCTTGAGATAGAAGCTGTTTTTCAGTCTCTCGGTCCCAGCTTTGATGCACCTGTACTGACCTCGCCTTCTGGATGATAGCGGGGTGAACAGGCCGTGGCTTGGGTGCGTGATGATGTTTTTGGGTTTCCTGTGACATCGGGTGCTGTAGATGTCCTGGAGGGCAGGCAGACCACACCACCCTCTGGAGAGCCCTGCGATTGCGGACAGTGCAGTTGCCCTACCAGGTGTTGATACAGCCCGACAGGATGCTCTCAATGGTGCATCTGTAAAAGTTTGTGAGGGTCTTAGGGGCCAAGACACATTTCTTCAGCCTCCTGAGGTTGAAAAAAAAAAAAAAAAAAAAAAAACATTTTTAAGTGGTTATCCCACTGGCTATAAGGTGAATGCACCTATTTGTAAGTCGCTCTGGATAAGAGCGTCTGCTAAATGACGTAAATGTAAATAGTGGAGGTGTTTCCTACCTTCACCACCGGGGGGTGGCCCGTCAGGAAGTCCAGGACCCAGTTGCACAGGGCAGAGTTCAGACACAGGGCAGAGTTCAGACCCAGGGCCCGAGCTAAATGATGAGCTCTGAGGCTACTATGGTGTTGAAGGCTGAGCTTTAGTCAATGAACAACATTCTTACATGGGTATTCCTCTTGTCCAGATGGGATAGGG